CCAAACTTCCACACCTGATGTAAAAATCCATGAGACTGTTCCTGGAAAACTTATCAGATGACACGGCTTGAACGTGAAGAGGCATGACTTTATCGAGAGTTTGGAGCAGCTTTCTAGTCTCGAGCTTGGTCTGTTCTTTAGCTGGCTATCCGGCGCAAGCGTTCAAAGAAGCAGCAAAAGTCACTCCATCGCGAGCAATCAAATTATAGCCATCACGGTCCCGAGGTTGGCCTGTTCTTCAGCTGCCATGCCGATGGAAGCGTTCAAAGCAGCAGCAAAAGTCACTCCATCGGGAGCGATCAAACTATAGCCATCTCTGTGTCGTCGAAGAAACGTCTGGAAATGCTCGTTAGCTACCTCTTTCTCGGTGTAGAAGTTCACCAGACTGCCTGCTACGAAATCATGCAGCAAGCTTTGATCGCTACAGCAAAGGTCACGGCATCCGGTGGAGCTCGAGTTTGATTTTCTAAGAGCATCCCGAGAGCCAACGATCTCTTGGCCATTGTCAGCGTAGATCAAAGCGTTCCAGGAGACAGCGTCGTGGAGGGGCATGAATCAAAGCGTTTGCGGTGCTTCCACTTCCACACTTGGAGTGCGACCAAGAGGTTGCCGGAAGCTACGTCTCTTGCGTGGATGGTCTTCCCTTGGCCTACATTCTTGCAGATTTGAGAGCGCCGAGATGGTGGAGCTCCAAGATGGCTGGATAGCTATACACATGAAGTTGCCCTAGCTACAACTTGGCATCATTGAAGAAAGAATCGAAAGGCAAAAAAAATAGCATCATTCGTAATAGCGGGAGCGGGAGGAGAGAGGCGGCCCGTTTCGAAAGCTTTGCAGGATGTCCTCAAACTCGTGCCGCGAAGCCCAAGCGAGCCACGCCCTCTCGATAACATACGTCATAAGCTCCTCGGGCGTGCAGCTCTTGCGGAGCTTGCCCGAGACGGGAGGGAAGGGCGTATACGATTCCCCACCGGCAATGCAGTGCACCCGCAGCGGAAACGGCACCACCCCAGTGGCATCCAGCACCAGCGACGCCACAACCTCCGCAAGCCGAGAGTTGCCATCCCCAAACGGCCTGAGCTTGGATCCAACGTCGAGAAATCCGCATGCGGCCACGCCAAACGCCGGCACCACCCTCTCCTCGACAGGCAACTCCAGCAGCGACGCCACCCCCGACTTGATCTCGCCGAGTTTGCTTGCCACCACAACGGCGCTCACACCCGCTCCGAGTCCCGCACCGCCGTTGACCACCCTGGCCTGGATGTCAGCTAGGGAGTGCAGGTCAAGGGCGAAGCCGGGTTTGACCGAGTGCAGGGCATATTCCAGGGCATCGCACATCCCCTGCGACTCGGCGCGCTGCTGGTCGCTGAGGTAGTCGGGGAAGTTGTACTCGAGGCATGCGCGGTTGGAGAGCGCCGAGTCCGGGTGGGGGATGAGGCGCTTGTCCCTCAGCCGCCCTGATGTGTCGCAGAAGTCGACGAGCTGTGCCTGCCACATTACCTGGGGTATCCTCGACGACGCAGCAGTAGTAGCGGCCGCAGCAATGTCCTTGACCATGTCTGATGTGCTGCGCTGCTTCTCTGGTTGCATCGTCAGCGCCCTCCACCAAGGCAGCTCCAACGGCCTCAACCTCATCGCCGCTTTGCTTGCCATCGATCCTTTCCTTCGACCCTACCGTGACTGTATATAGTCTTAGGCTTTAACCATTATTCTCGTTTGCTAAGCAACAGAGAAAAATCTATGAGACATACCCTTGAAGCTATGCATATGAAACCATACCTTGTTACAGCAGCACCATGCTTCACTCCAAGAGTAAAAGCAACAAGAGCATGGGACCAAGAAGAAGAAACAACTCACCATTTTCTTGATGGAAGACCAGGAGCTTCGATGGCAGTGCAGCCACTACTTCTCGAGCTTCCACAGCTCACATATCGATGGTGATTCCAGGCATACTTGACGGACCGCTTGTTCATCTCGAACCTCTCGAGCCGAATTTGATCAGATGGTGGAGAAGACGAGGCTGTGTACTCTAGACGCTCCATCGACTCACTCCTTTATTCCACTACCTCAAGAAATGATGAATTGCTCATAGGCCACGTCCACCAGGAAGGCAGCAACATCCGTCGTGTCACACTCCGGAACGCTCTCCAATGGAATGACACTGGCCTTGTTTGTCCTCGACAACGCGAGCGAATGTAGCATCCAAGTTCTCGCTGGCGTACAGTCCGTGTTCTCAGGGAGGCGCACATATCTTCCTCCGAGGCTGTCCTGGAGAAGCATTACCGTTACTTTTCTGCAAGAAAAGTTCTCAGTTACAAATGAATGGTAGAAAACAAAAAGACAAAGATATAAACCTTGACACTCGACCATTGCCATCGCGGAATGGGTGAATTTCTAGGAACTCCACCATGTACCGCGCAGCAAGAGTAAAGTGCTTGCAGAGCGAACATGTTTGTGTGAGCTGGTGGTCTTCCTCAGCAAGGATCTCCCACTGTAAAGGCAGTGATTAAATCGGCTAATATAATAAACTCACCTCTATGGTCAGTGCCCGGATCCACGCAGAGAGACAGCACTCAATGGCTTTCCAATCAAGAAAGCTTTGCCGCACACCATCACGTAGAGTCAAACTATAAGCGTGAGAAGTTCGTAGCTGTTTCTCCACGGGATTCAGCGCAATCACATCATCTATAGTAAGGCTCCGTGCGTCCAGCTTTGCAAGGAAATCTGGTGGCGTGTGAGGGACTCGTGGAAGCCTGGAGAGCTTAGCCACCATAGAGGACGTAGACAAAGCCTCGTGCCATGAAGGATGAGCCGACGTGCTTCTCCACGGGGAAACTCGGAAATGCTCCCCTCGCAAATCTTGCTGTTTGAAACAAGTCAAGACTCACGCAAAAGAAATAGAACTCCAAGATACCTGGTGCCTTCCCTGCCACAGTTCGTCCTTGACATTGGCAAGAAAAAAGGATGAACAAAAAGCATTAGAAGTACGTAAGGATTCGTGACGAAGCAAATGGGCCAGTACCTGGTGCAGAGCCGCGGATTGAGAATCCCGAGCAGGAGACATGGACACTAGAAAAAAGCGTTGCAATGAGAATGAAGAACTTTGATAGTCAGAGCACCTGTGGCGTGGAGACAAGTATTGGAGGGCTGTCCAACAGGCGGAGATCACTGGAGAGAACACTGAAAGCATTAAAAACAAGTAGGAGTCCTAGACGAATAAAACAACCTGGTGCAAAGGCTGCGGGTCGACTCATACAAGGCATGGACACTGGGAAAAAGAAGAATGAATTAGAAGGAGAATAGAGGTAAAATGGAGTATCGAAAGCACCTGCGACGTGGAGACTGGTATTCAAGGCTGCTCTGGCTGTCCAACAGGCTGCGACCACTGGAAAGAAAAAATGTAAAAACAAGTAGGAACCTTAGACGAATAAAACAACCTGGTGAATAGGCTGCCGGTAGAGAAGGTCGACTCATACGAGACATGGACACTGGAAAAAAGAAGAATGCGTTAGAATGAAAATAAAGGTAAATGGAGTACAGAAGAGCACCTGCGACGTGAAGACTGGTATTCAAGGCTGCTTTGGCTGTCCAACATGCTGCGCTCACTGGAAAGAAAAAAAGGAAGCATTAGAAACAAGTAGGAATCCTACAGAAAGCCAACAACGGGCCAACAACCTGGTGGATAGGCCGCGGGTAGAGAAGGTCGAGTCATATGAGACATGGTCACTAGAAAACACAAGAACAATGCGTTGGAATGAGAATGAACGTTGATAATGGACTAACCTGCGGCGTAGAGACAGGTATTCAGGGCTGATCAGGCCGTCGAACAGGCTGCAATCGATGGAAGCCAAGCGCCTTCCACAGCAGGAGGCCGGCACAACACTGTAAGGATGACACGAAAGAAAGACATGAACGAGAGAATGTTGCGGAACGATCCCTGGTGCGATGCTTTGAAGCGAATCGTCTAGAATGCATACCTGGATTCGATATTTCGAACAAGCAGGGCTCGATTTGCTTCTCCACATGCCACGAATCCTGAAATTCCAGAGGATCGATACATCGATTCAGCGAGCAGACGATCGATATTACGGACCTGAGGCCTTCACCCTGCCGACGAGAGAGCGCATCATCTTGCCTTGCCGCTCGATTACCCTAGGAGAAGGAGAATGAAGAACTGCTGGAGGACGCCGAATTTAAACATTTCCCTCCAGTGTATCCTGGCCGTCCAGTGTCCGCGTGCCGATCGATGCCACGTGTCTCACCGGATCGCAAGACATACTGCCACGTGTCGGGCATGAAAGACGGACCGCGATGCTGTCGCTCTACACTGCGTCGACGAAGTAAAGGCCGGAATGGCTTTTGATCAGTGATACTGGCTTCGTACGCTCGAAACGGGCACATCGAGGAGATCTTCTACCGGATGCCAGAGTGGGACTCGGTGTCTTGGCTCGGCTTTGCTCTAAACGGGCATCTTGGTCAGGCCGCGAATATCTTCCACTCAATGCCCGAGCAAAGCTCTGTCTCCTGGACCCGGCTATGCCCAAAACATAAACTCCACAGCCCCGTCTACGATGGGAAGTGCTCGCTCGTGTCCATAGGTATGTCGACAATGGACTACTGGATCCAGCCAGCCGACGAAACAGCACTTCAGCTGCATGATCGATCTGCTGGGCATTTGGATCACGCGCAGGAGGTCATACTCACGATCCCATTCGTTCCGGACTTGCTCGAGTGGACGTGTCTCTTGGCTGCTTGCAAGAGCCACAATAGCCTGCACCACGGAGCTCATGCCGCGGAGCGTGTACTCCCGAGAATTTCCACGACGACGAGCGCTAGCTACGTTCTTCTCCGGAACTTGTTCTCGCTTAGTGGTGGTGGCAGTATCAAAGTCTTCTAGCTTTCGGGAGTGACTCGATCCAAAACATGGCAGTAGCGGTTCTTCTAGTGTTCCACTGAGCAAAGGCTTGCCATGGTGACATGAGCCCCGGCGTCGGCTTCGTTCATATCCAGCAAAGCTTGTACGCAACTCTTGCCACCACGGGATTTTTCCACTTCCAGCAGGCACCGAGAATACTTCTCCAGATCCCGGCATTTTCTTCCAAAGCCATGCCTTTTACCAAGCTCAGAGCAGCCTCGAGTTTGCCGGCTCGGCCGTAGAGATCGACCATTGCGCTATAGTGTTCTAAGCTCGGAGAAGCTCCATACTTGGATACCATCGTCTCGAAACAGCGAGCTCCTTTCTCCACAAGGCCTGCGTGACTGCAAGCTGTGAGGAAGCACAGCAACGAGCTGGAGCTCACTCGCATAAACTCGCCCTCCATCTTGTGGAAAACTCCGAGTTTCTCCACAAGGCCTGCGTGACTGCATCTCCGGCTCTTCGTACTCGGCTTAGATCGATATCAAACTCGTGCAGTTTGAATGGGAGTGGCAGGGCATCCTGTCGAAAACTCCTTCCACACCTGGCGTACAAATCCATGACACTGTTCCCGACACTCCTGCAAAACTTATCGCCCGACAAGCTCTTCTCGGCTTGAACGTGAAGAGCCATGACTTTGTCGAGAGTTTTGAGCAGCTCTCCAGTCCCGAGTTTGGCCTGTTTTATCGCTGCCATGCCGCCGCAAGTGTTCAAAGCAGCAGCAAACGTCACTCCATCGGGAGCGATCCAACTATATCCATCTCTGTGTCGTTGAAGAAACCTCTGGAAAAGCTCGTAAGCCACCTCTCCCTGGCCATTCTCAGCATATCCCAAGATCAGAGCGTTCCATGACACCACATCTGGCTGCTTTATCCTGTCGAAAACCCTCTCGAGCCTGCTCCACCCGTCCACACTTTGCGTAGAAGTTCACCAGACTGGCCGCTACGAAATCATCGCTTCCAAATCCGAGCTTCTCAGCTTGCAAGCGTAAGTCTCTCCCCTTGAGCAGCATCACCGCCTTCTTCCCATCCTCTTTCACGGCCAAGTTCGGCCAAGCTTTGATCACTGCAACAAAAGTCCGCAAGTTTGGCAAGCATCTAGCAGCGTCCATGCCTGCCGAGAACAAATCCAAACTCACTCCAAGATCTCTGGAAGAACTAGTATCAGCATACCCGAGAAGGAGCGAGGTGACGACGTCGTGACGAACCATCCTATCGAAAACTCTGCGAGAATCCAGCAAACTCCCACACTTTGCGCAGACATCCACGAGCGAGCTCACCACAACAATGTCCTGCTCAAATCCCATCCTTGCAGCTCGAGAGTGACTGTGAAAAATGTAGAGGAATGGGAGGGAAAGCCTCGATCTTTGTAAGAAGCTCACTATGGATGTTTCTTTCCTCGCCAGGTTTGATCGCTGCAGCAAAGGTCACGGCATCCGGTGGAGCTTGAGTTTGATTTTCTAGCAGCATCTCCGTTAGCGTCTCGAGCGCCAAGATCTCTTGGCCATTGTCAGCGTAGCACAGGATCAAAGCGTTTCAGGGGGCAGCGTCATGGAGGGGCATGGAATCAAAGACCCTGGTCGCGTTTGCGGTGCTTCCACACTTGGAGTAACAAGGCTGCTGGCGACCAAGAGGGTGGATTCGTTGCCGGAAGCTATGGCTCTTGCGTGGATCGTCTTTGCTTGGCCTGCATTCTAGATTTGAGAGCTGCCAGGAGCGATAATAAGGTTGAGCTCCAGCTCAAGATGAGAAAAACTTCTTGAAAGCTTTGCCATTGCTATGTTTACTTGAAATTAGAGTGCAAGGAATAAGAATATCCGGAAAATATATTTTAATCTTAATATTATTTCAAATGGACCTGGGACAGTGGCTCTAGAGAACTGGATTGTCACATAAATTTGGTTCATTCTTGCCATGAGTTAATAAGTATCTACTTTGCAGTTTTAATTTATATTATAGAATATTCTTTTTACAATTATTATTAATTAAAAACTTTAACGATTTAAATTATAGTTGTTACACAAAATTTATTATATTATTGGTAAATTAGAAAAATATAGTTATTAAAATCTCCAGTTTATAATATTTTTAATCATGAAAATAACTAATGCTAGTATATTAATAATATAATAGAATATAACTTTTCCAAAGTAAACCATATGTTACTTGCACATAGTGTTTATAAATTTAAACACAATTTATATTAGTGATAAATAACAAACAAATTATCTTGAAAAATATCCTAAAATTTACGCTAATATTTTTCGTATATCATATTTTAAAGTTAGTTTTCTGCTCAAAAGTTATTTTGTTTCGAGACAAAAAGAATGGATCTTATTGTTTGATTAGACGAGAAACGAAAAAAAAAACTCTCTTTTTCTCCTAGTTCTAGACAAGCCGTTCTAGACAAGCCCTTGGCACATTTGCTCCACTTTCACCACAATCTGTGCCGGTTGCACCACCGTCGCGTCCTCCAGCGTCGCAGCGTATGGCGTCGGCACGTCCTGCGATGACAAACACTCGGGCCGGCCGTCGAGGAAGTCCCAGAAGTTGTCAACAATCGCAGCTCTCAAGCTCGCTCCAATCCCGCCAGTTCTCATGCACTCCTCCACGATGAGAACCTTGTGCGTCTTCTTGATCGAGTTTCCAATCGTAAAGAGATCGAAAGGCTTGAGCGACCTGATGTCGATGATCTCCGGATCATAGCCTCTCTCCACCAGAGTCTTGGCAGCCTGGAGCACGAAGTGCCGCATCCTCGAGTACGTGAGAATGGTGACGTCCTTTCCCGGACGAACAAGCTCGGCTTCCTCGAGACAAAGCACATACTCCTCGTCGGGGATCCTCTCCTTGAGATTGTAGAGAAGGACGTGCTCGTAGAGGATCACCGGGTTGTCACTCCGGATCGCGGCCTTCATCAGTCCCTTCGCGTTGTAAGGAGTGGAGCATGCCACCATTTGCAAGCCCGGGACCGACTGGAAGTACGACTCCAAGCGCTGTGAGTGCTCGGCTCCAAGCTGCTTTCCCACTCCACCGGGACCTCTGATAACGATCGGGATCTTGAACTGGCCACCCGAAGTATAGTGGAGCATTCCCGCGTTGTTGGAGATCTGGTTGTAAGCCAGCAGCAAGAATCCCATGTTCATGCCTTCCACCACTGTCCTGAGTCCCGTCATGGCAGCTCCAATCCCCATCCCCGTGAAAGAGTTCTCGCAAATCGGCGTGTCGAGGACGCGCAAGTCGCCAAACTTCTCGGCCAGTCCCTTGGTGACTTTGTAGGAGCCTCCGTAGTGACCGACATCTTCGCCTATGACGCACACTGTGGGATCTCTTGCCATCTCTTCCTCGAGACCTTCGCGAAGAGCATCGAAGAGCAAGATCTCGTGACTGGAAGTAAAGAACCAAGTGAAAAACTAGATTTTGGAGGCTGAAACTTGTAAGAACTTACCCGGATTTCGCAGTGGTCAGATTCGGAGCTTCGCCTTTCACCTACACGCATGATGGGTAAAACTTCTCTGTCGGTAGGAAGAACTTACCGCGACAGCTTTTAGCGCAGAGCTCCTGTTCTTCCTCGATTCCTCGCTCAATGCAGCTCCTCTAACGACAAGGGCGCCTGAAAGAAGGCTTCATCGAGAAATTCCCGGAGACAGCGAGCTGATTACCTCGAGCTGGAACAGCCGATGAAGAGCACCGGATCCGCCCAGCATTTGGCGGCGACAGCAGCCGATTCTCAATGCCGGGAGCAAGCGCCGCTCCTGCCGCGGCCATTGCACGATCGCGCCCTTGCCGGATCCACAAAACCCTAATCGCCGAGAGAAGAATTTATTCGCTAGCCAGCAAGCATACAATGAACTAGCGGCCAGGAACTTGCCACGTCAGCAAAACTCTAGCAGGGACCAAAATATTCTTCCGCTCTTTCATCTGTCAATCAAATCTTGTCAGTTTGTGGTCTAGGGCAGAAATGCGGCCGCGATGCGAGGTAAGCTCTCGATTTCGCCGCCCCAATCGATCGATTGCCTGCTGCTGGCAGTGGAAATCGAGCTTGGCGGCAGCGAATTAGCGGGGCATGGCAGAGGCATCGACTGTGGACGAGCTCGGGCCCAAATTCTCGCAAGAGGAGGATCAAGGCGGCCCCGATTGGTTTGAGCGCTTGCCCGAGCACGTCCTCATCGAAATTCTCATCCGCATTCCCGCTCCAAACTGGCCGGCGGCGGCGTGCGCCAAGAAGCAATGGGCGGCGCTCTTCAAGAGCGAGGAGCTGTGGCGATTGGCGCTGCTGAGAAAATGGCCTCACACCGCGGAGGTCGAGCGATGGCCCGGCCCAATTGGCCGAGGCTGTAGCAAGCGGTACTCTCTCTCTCTCTCTCTCTCTCTCTCTCTCTCTCTCTCTCTCTCTCTCTCTCTCTCTCTCTGTGTCTGTGTTTGTGTGTGTGTGTGAGAGAGAGAGAGGACATTGTTTCTTCGCTATCGCCATTATATTTCTTTCTCTGTTCTCTTTGATCTCTATCTCTATCTATCTCTTTGATCAAACTTCCACGAAACTATTCACCTTCTTCCTGTTGATCAAAGTGCTATCATCACTCTAGATCCCTTCCTTTTGTTTAACTATACACTGGTCTTCCTTTTTCATCATTCTTTCTCTTTCTCTAACGACACTGTCACTTCCCATAGTTTCTCTTTGATCAAGCTATCATCGTCTTCAACCGAACTATTCATTCTTTTCTTCGATCAAACTTTCTTCGTTATGTTCGTTTCCCTTCTCTTCTGCGAATTCTTTTATGTTTTTTTTTTCTTTTGATCTTCCTCTTCTATCATTCTTCTCTTAATTTACATTATCATCACCATTTCTTCGCTACTATCTTTCTTTGTCTACACTCTTTGATCTCTATCTCTTTGAACTTCAACGAAACTATTCATCTGATCAAACTATCATCACTCCTCTAGTTTAACATCTCGCATGGTTTCTCTTTGATCAAGCTATCATTTTCTATTCATTCCCGTTTATCAAACTTTCCTCGCTATCATATCTTTGTTCTTTCCCTTCTCTTCTTAGTCTCTATCATCTCATAAAACTAACACGTCTTTTCTTCGATCAAGCAATCGTCCTTTCTCGCTTTTTTCATTGCTCGTTCTCTTTGCAGTCGCTACAGAGCCATGCACGCGAGCAAAGCAGTGTTACCACTTATAGGCGGCGACGTCGAAGAAGTCGCCGGACACGTCTATCTCTACCTGAAAGAACAGCTCGAGTCCGCTTCCTCGGTTTCATACAGCCTTCTCCACGGAACTACAATCAGTTAAGTTCCTCTGGACGAGCGAGCGTTCTCCTCTTTTCTTTTGTTTCGCTCATTCAATGTTAACGACTGGGTATTGAATGGCAGACCAGTTCCTGGCTTGTAAGATGGCAGGCAATGAGGCACAGGCTCTGGCGTCACAGATTTGGATCGCCGTGATCAATAATCTGGACAAAACTGACCGAAGGCTCAGCCTCCTGATACGCGCGGCAGATGTAAGCTTTGTCTTCCTCCTTTCCTTCTGTCAATTCCGTAGTGTTTCCCACAGGTGTTCCTTCCATCGTATTCCAAGTCTCACGGGCTTCTTGTGGAGCGCATCGTAAGTTTCAGAGATTGTCATCGCTTCTTCAAGCTCACAATATGAGCCCCTTCTCACTGGAGCTTACATCAGAAGGTAAGCAAATCTTCCTGTTCAATACAGTTTTGTGTGGACAATCCAGGTTGTAAGTTCTCAGATCAATCAAGAACAAGGAACAAGAATCCTCTGCCTGGCTGTGCTGTGAGTTGGCTCTAAACATCTTATATGCCAAAACTCTGGATCGCTAACGACTTTTAAGTGCCAGACAGCTACGGGCGCTAGCGATGGATGTGTCCATCGCGAATCTTTAAGAAAACAAGCAAGGCAACACTAGACACACACACAAACAAAAAGAGGAGACGCACACTATATGATGAATCAAAATCAAACAAAACAAAGAGTACACCAGCTTGAGTGTCAGTATTTCTTTTCTCTTTTTTCCTTTTTCTTTTTTTTCAGTACATGTGGAGCAGCTTTTCTTTTGCGTCCATGTCTCACAAATATCTAAAAAGAATAACCTCTTCTGCCAAAAGGGAAGAACAAATGTGATTTGCTGGAAATCCAAAAAATTTTATGCGGTGTGGCTGGATATATCGTGCTGCGAACAATGGGGGCACTCCAAACATAACAAAATCTACTGCCCGCTCCACTGCGTGCCACCCCACCGGCAACATCGCGCTGACACTACTGTACGGCGCTAGACAACCATCACAGGTCAACTTTCGTGCTCCAAGTTTACTCCGGCAAATTAAAAACAACCAAGAGACACCGTAGCGACTGGCCAAAATTCTCTTCTCTGCGGAGACCTCTCCTCTCGCTCATGTCAAACTCCAGCTTCTTGGGAGGTGACAGGCTTGAGAAGAAGCCCGTGCTCTTCGTCCGTACTAGTGGCGGCGGCGCCGCCGTTGTCACCGCCCTTCGCGCCGCCCTTCAGCTCCAGCTCCGTACCCGTCAGCCGCCGCGCCCGCTCCGCCTCCACCGCCCAGTCCGTACGCCACACGACGAGCAGGATCGAGAACGCGCACGCCGCCTGCGCCGCCAGCAGCCCGTACCACAGTCCGCCAAAGCCGACCTTAAACCAGAAGGCCAGCGCCACCGCGACGGGCGTCCCGAGGAAGTAGAAGGAGCCGAGGTTGATCCGCGCGCCAATGGCGGGCCGCGCGGTACCGCGCAGCACACCGCACGCCGTCGTCTGGGGGCAGTTGCCCAGCTCGCACAGCCCGATGAGCGGCATGACGGCGGCGGTGAGCGCCAGCACGCTGGCGTCGCGGGTGAAGACGCGGCCCCACTGGTGGCGCAGCGCGGTAGTCCACGTCAGCCCGGCGGTGGCCACCACCAACGCGCACCCCAGCGCGACGTATGCCGCGCGGCGCGCCCGGTCCGGCCGCCGCGCGCCCAGCTCGTTCCCGACCCTGGTGGAGACGCTGGCGCTCAGCGCGAGCGGGATCGTGTACATCAGCGAGGTGGTCTGGATCAAGATCGCGGTGGTGGCCACCGCGACCTCGGGATTCGGGAGGTAGCCCGCGAGCAGCGTCATGATCTCATACCACCACCACTCGAGGCAGATCGCGAAGCAGCTGGGCAGCGCGAGCGCGAGCAGCGGGCGCCACTCGCGGAGGCAGTCGATCGACCAGCCATCGCCCCAAGTCCGGCGGTAGACGCCCGAGATCCGGAGGTAGAGCAGGAGGAGCGCGATCATGAAGAAGTTCGTGAAGACGGCGGCCATGGCGACGCCCGGGACGCCCAGCCGGAGCCCAAACGCGAGCGCGAGGCTGAGCGGGACGTGGAGCGCCACCGCCACGGCGGAGCACCACATCATCGGCGTGGTGATGCCCTGCGATCGAAGGTAGACGCGCAGCGGCTGGAGGATGCTGTTGGCGAGGAGATCGGGCAGGGAGAAGAGGCAGTAGGTGCTCGCGACCGCGGTGATGCTTGGATCCTGGGCGAGGAAGAGAAGAATTCGATGGAGATTGATCCAGAGGAGGGAGATTGGGACGCAGGCAGTGAGGAGCACGAGGATAGTCCGCCGGAGTGAGAGGCCGATGAGCTTCCAGTTCTTGGATCCGAAAGCTTGGGCGCAAATCGGGTCCATGCCGGATGCCAGGCCGAAGAGAACCGAGTAGCCGGTGATGTTGGTGAAGCCGATGGAGAGCGCGCCGCCGGCGAGCTCGCGGCCGCCCAGTCGGCCCAGGCAGAGCACCGAGACCATGGCCCGGAGGTAGACGACGCAGTTCATGGCGGTGATGGGCACCGCAATTCGACCCAATTCGCGCAGCTCCTCGAGAATCTGGCCATGGAGGAACCAAAAGAATCGAGCGATCAGTCTTGGGCTTCGATCGTGGAGAGCGAGAGAAATGGGCGATGGGCGATCGAGAAGAAATGCGAGAGGAGGAGGAAGAAATGTGGGAGAAATCTTGCCTGGGCGAGGGATGGGCACTCATGCAAGTGCTCCTCCACGATCATCTTGAGCGTGGCCTCGTCTAAGTGTTCTTCCTCGCCGCCATGGCCGACCTCGGAGAGCTTCTCTTGCCCTCCTCCTTTCTCCTCATCCCCAGCGACCTTTTGCCACGCCTTTGCTGGATCCTCCATCGCCCTCACGAACGAAAAAAAAGAGAAAGCTCTCCCTTCTCTCTCTCTTTTTTTTTTTTGCTCGATCAATCAATCAATCACTCGATCGATCGATTGGGACGATCACGCTCGATTGGAGTAAAGAAAAGGAGGCGAGACAATGTAAGAGAGGACCAAAGGACACGCCGAGAAAGCATCGAAAATCCTGACAAAGAAGCCCTTGTGTGTGTGTGGTTGCCATTGTATAGCTTATATACAAGCCTTTAAATCTTTCAATACACATTTACTTATTCGCATTTAGGGCACGGAATGCGACACCGCCGCCACCCCGCCGTACGCCCCGCCGCAAACACATGCGGGCCGTGCGATGCCGGGGAGGTGCCATCTGCACCGTCGGCCCCGGCGCGCCACCGAATCTTTTAAAATGGTAGGCCAATACTGTCGCGGGGCGTGTTGCCCTACTTTTTGTAAAGCAATTGCGCGCAAGAATGTAGATTCCAGAGAATCATATGTGAAGTATTGTGTCTATGTAGTTAGCATTGCCATTATTTCTTGTTGTTGTCATCATCTTATAAAGTATTCGCGAGGAGAATCCACATGGATGAATGAGGAAATCGGGAGTTATAGAAGTTAAGAGAGCTTCTCTTGCTAGATCGTCGTCGCCAAAGGGTATCCCTAGGCCGCATTGGGGTGCTTTCTTTTCTATAAAGGTGGGCATTTAGCTTAAGTGTTTGGGGGAGGGGGGGGGCATTTAGCCATGAGTGTGATGCCCGCTTTGGTTCTCTTTGGAGCGAATTTTGATCATTGTCATTCTCAAAATCCGAAATTCTATAATTGCCCTCAATGGTTGAGAGAAAGAGAGGAAAACCAAGCGCCAAAAGGGATGATCACCATGAACTTTGGATCAACAAACAAACCCTTCTCTCCTTTTTTGTCCGGAAGACCTTATGCCTTGCACTGTGGGTCTTTTGACACCGTCGTGATTATATGGCCCAAATTATAGCTCCTGGCAATCAAACCTCCTGAATCAGCCTTGATTTCTGGTTTTCATATACTTTTACTTGAAATATCTATAGTATAATATTTGGTTCCACTGCTAGCAGTGATCTCTCTCTCCTCTTACATAAACTTTGAGTGCTCTGCGGCGGTGCCGGATCGATTTGGTGGCAGTGAGTGCTCGCTGCGCTGCTCCAAAGTGTGCGCACCGGATTCTTCTACACTCTGCCGTGGAGCCTACGCGGCTGTGAAGCCCAAAACAGTGCTCTGGGGCCAATCAGCTTCCAATCTTCCACGAAAGATCACATCTTTCTACACATCTCAGGAACTGCAAATGCCATTACTGGGCATTCATTGCCTTACGTTGGCCTGGGGAGATTCTTGTCAAGGTCACCGACAATTGGTTGGATTGGAGCTCCTTGGGTGGCCCTCGACATTCGCAAAAGCTTGTTGTTAAAATGGCTAGCCAATGTGAGGCTCCAGCGCGGGCACGCTTAGATTTTGGCTTTTTGGCATCCAGCACTTTCAAATTCATGCAAAAATAACTATAAAATACTAAAGACTAGATTATTTTAAATTTATTAAGGTTTTTTAAAATTATTTTCTAGAAAAGGAGGCAACCAGGATTGAACTAGTGACCCATTGGACTGCAGCCAATTGCTCTACCACTGAGCTATACCTCCATTGGACGAGGAAGCTTACGCTAATTGCGAATCTATGGAATTATGCTTCTTTGTCAATGGAAATTCGTTTAGGTATTCTAGGGCAGGGAAGCAAGAATGGCGGAGAGGGAGAGGGAGAGGGAGAGGAGGAGCACAGTAATGCGGATGCTCGTCCCCGTCACTGCCCCGGAGGACAAGCGCTTGATCGAGTTTGACAGCGTTCTTCTCGATCACTTCCTCCGGATGCTCGAGGATCTCCACGGCCAGGGGATCAAAGAAGCTGTAAGTGATCGATCGACGTTTATTTTGCCCTGTTTGATCGATCGATCTTTGTTTCAAGGTCGAGCGCTGCTACCAGCTCTCGGTGGAGTACCAGAACAGTGGCAACACCAAGAAATTGGGTGAGCTCGCAACAGTGCTCGACGGCCTTGGCCCCGGGGATTCCAGCATTGTGGCGAGTTCCTTCTCTCACATGCTCAACCTGGGAAACCTCGCGGAGGAGGTCCAGTTCTCTTGCCGCAAGGCGAGCGCTGTGAGGAGATCTGGCGACATTGGCGATGAGAACAGTGCCGCGACGGAGTCAAACTTGGAGGAGACTTTTCGGCGGCTGATGAGCGACGTGGGGAAAACTCCGGACGAGATCTTCCAGGCTTTGAAGCGCCAGACTGTGGATTTAGTACTGACTGCTCATCCAACTCAATCCATTCGACGCTCGCTCCTTCAAAAGCATGCTCGGTAAGAAAAGATCACAAACTTGACGAACTTCTCCTCTTGCTCGGTAAGAAAAGATCGTTAGACGTGAGCACTGACTTGTTTGTGTCTAGCTTGCAGCATTCGTAACTGTTTGTCCCAGCTGCACAAGGACGACTTATCTCCCGACGATAGGCAAGAAATAGACGAGGCTCTCCAGCGAGAGGTAAGTGTTTTTTTGTCTCGTTTGTAGATAAACCAATGCTGGCTCCATTCTCGCAGATTCAAGCTGCTTTTCGAACTGATGAAATAAGACGTGCGCCACCAACCCCGCAGGACGAGATGCGTGCCGGGATGAGCTACTTTCACGAGACAATCTGGAACGGCCTTCCCAAGTTTCTTCGTCGGGTGGATACTGCGCTAAGAAACATCGGTCTCAAGGAACGCCTTCCGTACAACGTTCCTCTCATACAGTTCTCCTCATGGATGGGAGGCGACAGAGATGGTATGCTCTTGCTGCTTTAACGATTGCTGAGCCTTTCTTTTTCTTTAGGAAATCCTCGTGTAACACCCGAGGTTACGCGAGACGTATGTCTGCTGGCGAGGCTTATGGCAGCAAATCTATACTTTTCACAGATCGAGGATCTGATGTTTGAGGTAGGAACTCTGCAAAGTCGTCATGCATAAAACTTTCTAAGAAGAGTTTTTTTGGCCTCTCTGTAGCTATCAATGTGTCGTTGCAATGACGAGGTGCGCACTAGAGCCTCTCAGTTGCTTGCTGGAGAGAAAATCGATGTGAAACACTATATAGGTTTGCAGTGTCAACGTGCTTATCTTTGAGGAATCCGACTATCATTGCCATGTCTGCTGGCAGAGTTTTGGAAGCAAATTCCACCCACGGAACCATATCGAGTACTGCTCGGCGATTTCCGTGACCGCCTTTATCAGACGCGAGAACGAACACGGCAGCTCCTTGGAAACGGGAAGTCCGACATTGGCCCAGATGAAACTTTCACCTCGACCGAACAGGTATATACTAGATTACCTACGTATGTCGACGTACTGATTGTGATACTGGACGATTCTTTGCTTGAAGCAGCACAGATACTGCAGCCTCTGGAGGTCTGTTATCGCTCTCTCTGCTCTACAGGCGACAAGCCAATCGCTGATGGAAGCCTGCTGGACTTCATGCGTCAAGTCTCGAGCTTTGGGCTGGGACTCGTGAGATTAGACATTCGCCAGGAGTCCGAGAGGCACACAGATGTTATGGACGCCATCACGAATCATCTCGGCCTGGGAAGCTACAGAAGCTGGCCAGAAACGAAGAGGCAAGAATGGCTGCTCACGGAGCTCCGCAGCAAGAGACCACTCTTTGGTGCTGATCTTCCGATGACTGAAGAGGTCCAGGACGTGCTAGGCACATTCTACGTTATATCCGAGTTGCCAGCCGACTGCTTTGGAGCCTACGTTATCTCCATGGCTACAGCTCCGTCCGATGTTCTCACAGTCGAGCTTCTGCAACGAGAGTGCCGGGTGAGCAAGCCACTGCGGGTGGTGCCGCTCTTTGAGAAGCTCGCGGATTTAGAAGCAGCTCCAGCAGCCATGGATTGCCTCTTTTCGATCGACTGGTATCGTAGTCACATCAATGGGACGCAGGAGGTGATGATCGGCTACTCCGACTCTGGAAAGGACGCAGGGAGATTATGTGCTGCTTGGCAACTGTTCCAGACGCAGGAAAAGCTTGTCGAGGTTTCGAAGAAGCACGGTGTGAAGCTTGTCATGTTTCACGGACGTGGGGGCAGTGTCGGCAGAGGCGGCGGCCCGACTCATCTGGCAGTTCTTTCGCAGCCTTCGGACACAATCAATGGATCGTTCCGCGTGACAATCCAAGGGGAAGTCATCCAGCAGTCGTTTGGAGAAGTCAGCTTTTGCTTCCGGACGCTCCAACGGCTTACTGCGGCAACGCTTGAACATGGAATGTGTCCGCCGAGAACACCCGAGCAACACTGGCGCTCGTTGATGGACGAGATGGCCGTGGTTGCAACGGCGGAGTATCGAACCACTGTTTTCAAGGAGAGACAATTCATGGACTATTTCACAGCGGTAAGAAAGAAGCTTTTTCTGCAGCTTGATTACAACGCAAGGAGCTGTTTTGCAGGCAACTCCAGTGCTGGAGTATGGACGGATGAACATAGGAAGCCGACCTTCCAAGAGAAATCCCAGCGGAGGCGTCGAGTCCCTCCGGGCAATCCCATGGATCTTCGCCTGGACGCAGACCAGGTTCCACCTTCCAGTGTGGCTCGGAGTTGGAGCGGCTTTCAAAGCAGTGATCCAGCGCGGTGCAACGAACTTGCAAGCGCTCCAGGAGATGTACAAGATGTGGCCCTTCTTCCGTGCAACCGTGGACCTCATCGAGATGGTGTTTGCAAAGGGAGATCCCCGTGTCGCGGCGCTGTACGACGAGCTTTTGGTTGCCAAAGAGCTGCTGCCATTTGGAGACCACTTGAGGCAAAAGTACGAAGAGACAAAGGAGCTGCTGCTCAAGGTACGTGAATCCATTTTCGAGCTTTTGGATTTGGATCCGATGACTGGAAAGGAGCTTGCAGGTGGCGGGACACAGCGAGCTTTTGGCCGGGAATCCGATATTAAAGCAGCGGCTGAGCCTTCGCGAGCCATTCATAACCCCGCTCAACGTACAGCAGGCTTTCACGCTCAAGAAGCTAAGGCAGCAGAGCTCGAGGATCTTTCTGGAGCTGCCGGTGGCGGAGGTGGTGGCGTCGAGAGCCACGGCGGAGGTGGCGGCTGGAATTCACGACTCGCTCATCCTCACCATGAAGGGAATCGCGGCTGGCATGCAAAACACTGGGTAGACTTACTATTCTTTTATTGGTGAATGATCTACAAAATATATTCCCCTTTCATATTTGATCTTCTATGCTTCACATTTATGGGATCACAAAGTTTCACATTTATGGGATCATACAAAGCCTTGGGTGTTTTGCAATCCTCCCACACCTTCTCGTCCAGATTGTAACAAAATTCTTGCGAGCTCGTGTCTCCATCTTCCTCACACTCGGCCGGGGTAAAAGCACGAAAGCAAAGGTAGCTTTTCTTCGACCTGAAATCGAAATGCTGCCGAATGTATGAGACACATACCTCGTCCGCGATGACCTTTTCAGCCTCCAAACGTATTTCGTCTCTTGTAATATCCCAAATTTTGATCTTTCCTTCGAGATCCTCATCCTCGGTTGCCACCACAAAAAGTTTCTTCTCCCAGACTAGAAGATGGGCTTGCCCTCGCATCCCAATCGCAGATAAATCCCTAAACAAGAACTCACAAGTTTTGGTATCATAGATCGTCAAGCTCTCTTTATCGATGTTGATCGAGACCACTTTGTCGTCGAAAACCACTGGGGTTGATGCCAAGCTCCGAGGCAAACCCTTTTCCTCCACCCAGCAAGATTGCCCACGGGAGAATGTCCAGACCCGGTTATGAAACCCCCACGCCACAAGTTTGTAGTATCCCTCGTGACCTTTGATACAAACGCTATCAAACTGCACCATCTCGTCCTGGACCTCGGGGATTGCTTCCCAGCTACCAAGAAAAGGATTTCCAATGTAGTATCGCTTGTTGTGTGCGGCAATCACTAGGTTATCTCGAAAGGTGGCGGAGTACATTTCATGTCCTCCCCAATGCATAACCGTGGTGCTAGAGTCCATGATGATCGCATCCCATGAAATCACGCCACTGTCAGAAAAGAGCTCCGTGAAACTTGGTAAATTTACGAGCTTCCTCCAATGTTTGCATACGCTCCTCACCTTGATAACGCCTGAAATAGGAAGCCTTAGAAAGATGGCTTCCAGAACCTCTTCTGGCAGGCACAAGATCCTCTTCATTATTGAATGGTACCCTAACAATCTTTACTTCGTCTTTATATATAACCAAGATTACCTTTTCGTAAACCATGGTTATCATCAAAATAAGATCCGAATATTCACACATAAAATCCGGTTGGACTATTCAAAGGATAGAGTGGGGTTATAAATCTTTGCACTCCTAGATGCAGTTGTGTTGATTGAGGGGTGTTTAAGAAGTGAGGAGATCTCCAGCTGAAAGTAACAAGCATTAAAAAAGTTGTAACAAAATGAAACTAAATCTTACCATTCTTGATATTTACACAACTGTCAATCTCCAACTGTTTGTAACTGCCCTCACATGTCGTTTTATATATATATTCCGTTTTCAGAATTCTTGTGTATGAATTGCTGAGCTTGCATCGGTCAGGAAAGGCAGGGATTTGCATTGGACTGGAAGACAGCAATCTAAACAAAACACGCAAGCATGCGCACAAACAGTGTTGTGGGGGCGGCAAACGCAAATCAATCGATTCAATGAAAACCCTTCAAGCATCATCCGGTCTTTAATAATTCATTCCAATGTGACAAATCCCGCGAAGATGTACACATCGCTCCACATATTCTAGCCTAAACGCACTTATGCTCTTGATTCTATCTGTCCGTGGAACGTGGGAAACTTCAGTGTGTGTTTGGATGGAACTCCCTGGCGCTTTGCAAATTGCCAGAAAGGCTGCCAATACAAATAAAAAAGTAGGATGTTGATAGAGTGAAAATGAGTGCTGCCATGCAATGCAATGCTCATGACAACCTTGTGTGTTAGCGATTATTATTCCCTTGCCTTCCATTCTTCCCAAATCACAATTCTTTTCAATCTCGCAAAATCTCTCAATCCATTCTTTCCATCCCCCAAGTTGGTACAAAAGCAAAGATTCCCCCCTTTCCATTCTCTCCTTTATTTTTTGTTGCTTGTCACCGACTGTGTGACAATAGTATGAAGAGATATCGAAAAAATAGCTTGGGGATTGGTCCCGTGGACCCATGGGCGGTGCCGGCGGCCCCACCAACACGGTCCTCCCTGTCAGCATTGCTGACGTGTGACGGGGTCGACTGTTTCCTTTCGTCTCAGGCGCTTTCCAGTTGGGGCATATAGTTGTGCCCATCAACCTTTTCTTTAAATCAAAAGCGCGATTTCATACTAGAAAATAATTTCATGGTTTCTAAAGTGATAGTTTGCGATTCCATGGGCTGGAAATGCAAAGATTCCACATGGTTTTAGAGGTTTTTGTAGAGATGAGGTGGATTAGGTTAGCAGACATTTTGGGTGCGAGCCTTCACATGGGGCCCTCGTGGCAATTCCAACACGAATTCTAGTGGCCTTTCTTTTTTCTGAAAATGAGTATTATGCGCTATACAGTGACGGAATATTCGTTGTACTGGATACGATATATATATACGCCTTGCTTGAGGAGAGCTGGAGGTTTCTCTCAGTTTTTTTCATTGATCCATTGAGCGCGCTCGCGAGAGAGAAAAGGCGAGGAAGAAATCGATTAGGTTCTTCGGTGGCGAGAGAGATCCGGTAGCTCTCGCTTTGGATCGTTGGTCAAAGTTGTGAAGTGGTCGAAGGGAGTTTATGTGCATTCTTCCTGTTGGTTTTGGTCCGTCTGTGTGGTGGAGTGTATCGTCTGTGCTCTGCATTTTTTAGGAGCCAGGTCTATCTTGATCCACCGCTGGAAATTCTTTGATCCGCGATTGCGCTGCCTCGAGGCATCGCTCGCGCCAGTTTTGCTTTTTGCATATATCTTTCTTTCCCTCCTGGGATTGTTTGACAGACCCCGGGGTTTTGCGTTTCGATTTTGTGCATAGTCGCGTCGAGAGGGATAAAGCTTCCAAGAAAATCGAAAAAAGAAAACATTTCGCCTGCGTGAGATTGATAGTGAGTCTGAGATCGATTTCGATCGAATCGATCCAAGTCCAGTATTCTAGTGTGCATAAACTCGCTCGTCCCAATCCCAATTTTGCTGTGTTGTATATTTTGCTTTGTTCTTAACATCATGGGGAAGTGTTCTAGCAAAGAACGTGTTGGAAAAGCAATGGTCTCCAAGATCAATGCCGTCCAGAAATCTTCGGGGGCTTCGAGCTCGAATGACAACAACAACAACAACAACAAATCCAACACAAAGCCACAGGTATGGATCATTCGGAAAACTTCTCCTTTCTCTCATTCCTTGTGTATCTCCAGTCCATTCCAAGCTCGAGTGGTAGCACCAGGGTCCAGGTACGATCAAGCCTTAAAAGACAATTTGGTGGATTCATAAAACATACTTCCAGGACAACAATTCTCCCAAGAATGTTGGGGTGGTGGTGCCACCAATCTCCATCCCTGCCCCTCCCGCCCCGGCTGTAGGCTCAAATATCCAACGAGGAGGCCCCGGCTCGGTGTCAGACAGATTCCACGATGCACAAGAAGAACTCCCGGACTTCCCCACGCTCGACGCCCAAGGCAACGTCCCACCCGAGGAGCACCCAACTCCAAAGATGGGCTCCTCTTACAAGCAGCCATCCTCGTCGTCCCCAGCGTCGTCTCCCCAGGAAGTGAAAAAGATCCATTCCTACGCATACGTGGTGGCCCAAGCGCCACCATCCGCAAGTAAGTTGAGCTCGAGTTCTTCGTTTCCAGGTAAGTCGTCTAACCTCGAGGTCCTTAGCAGTAGTAATAGTAGCGCTGGTAGTTTCGGTAGAAGCCAGAGCCTTGAGACGTCTAGTAGAGCTAGCGAGACAACGTTTTCTCACACAACCACCAGAACACCATCGAAAACTCCAGAAACCGTCGTGAAGCCCGAGTTAGTTTCGACTCAAACACCAAGTGCTAAGCCCGATCCTTACAAATCCGACTCGAAATATGCCAAGCCTGCTTCTACAACCAAGCTAGCTCCTGAATCAAAAACCAAAAGTGTTGAGACCATGAAGCCTGCCCCGGACACCAAAGGTAAGCCCATTAGTATCAAAGGTAACAAGCCGCCTCCTCCGGTTCAAGAGAAGGCCTCACCGAAAGCCAAGTCTCCGCCTAAGGCCAAGGCTTCCCCGACGCCAGTAAGAGTTACAGAGCCTGCGATGCAAAACCGCAAAGAAGAGAAAGCTGCCGGCGTTTCTCGTCGTGGCTTTGTTCTCGAGGACTGGGAACTTGTCTCCAAAGCCACTGAAACACCGGACGACAAACAAAAGGTGAGTGACATCTTTTTCGAGATCTGCTTATATAACTTTGATGAACCAGGCATCAAGAACAGCAAATACAGAGACCACAAAAGCTGGGCCGGATAGGAAAGCAGTGGATAGTCTAGGAAAACCAGGTGGCGCGATCAGGCCTCAAGCGGGATCTGATGTATCATCAGAAAACCGAGTAGGAAAACAGGCAGCCCCCCCGGAGATTATAAAAGAACAGAAGGCCAGGGAGATCCCAGCGATGGAGAAACGTTCATCACATTCTAAAGCAGCAACAGCAAAAAAAGTCAAAGCTACACCGGAAGTGCATGTGACAGCAACTGAGCCGGGAAGTGATAACTCCATGTCGAGCTTCAGTGGACCGTCTGATTCATCAAAAGTTGGCGAGGAAAAACAGCATGCTCAAAAGCGTGAAGCTGCTCAAGTTGGCGCTGGAACGAAGAGAAATTCGGGACAGGAGGAGCCAGTAAACATTGCGAAAGAAGTACCAGGTAATGCTACAATCAAGGATGTTACAAGGGATTTTGACAAGAAAACTCCACAAGGAGCTCAGAACAAACGAGAAGATGATACGCCAAAGCAGGAAGCTAAGATAGATCAGATCGGCATTGGCACATCGGTAACAACTTTAGGAGAGATACAAGAGAAACCACAAGCAATTGCCGCTCTGCGTAAGGAAGAAAAGGCACCTGTGCCACAGGAAGCGCCAATATCAGCTACAGTGGCAGATGCCACATCCAAATCAAATCTTGATGTGCCTACGGACAAAGCGCAGCACCGGGCGATAGCTCCATATGCGATAGTGAAGCGGGAAAATGATGATTCGTGCGTGGAGGAAAAGCCCGCTGACAAATTTACAATGAAATTGGAAGACAACGTAGAGAAGCCAGCCGTTTCTGAGCATGAGCTCAAGCTACCAGACAATTTTTACGGTGCTCAGACAATTGCAGCTGCACAGAACGTACAAGTCGCGACTCCAGCAGAAATGCAAGTGCTATTGGACATATATCCTGAGACTGTGCAAAGAAATGAGGAGCAGACTGCAAGTGACGTTTTCCTGGATCCAAAAGCCCCTGTACCTTTGGAATACTTAGCAGGACTAGTCGAACACGTCATACGTACCACAACAGAGGACCATGAAAACGTGACACCGCCCCAAATAAAGAGAAGTGCGCATCCCAACCAAGGAAAGGACAACAGAAAAGAAAGAGACGAAATGGTTTCGGAGGGCCTGCCCGTTCCCAAAGTCGTACAAGAAACATCGAAGGCCGTCGAGTTACAACAAGCCACGCCTTCAGAAGCCATGCCTGTGGTTAAAAAGAAGGCTGCAAGGGAGGCAATACCCGAGCCTCCAGCAGCAATACCTCCAACCCCGGAAAACAAGGAAAAAGAGAGCCATGACGCAGCCAAGTTGGCTGTAGAGCATGCTGAGGCCGAGGAGAGTGATCCCAAGGCGATTGTGAAGGAGGGAGAAAAGGTGGCAGACCAAGAAATTAAGAGGTCCCCGCTGGATTCCACACACGCGACAGATTCTGTGGTGAAGGAGACAGCAGCTCCTGCCAGTGACGATTTTGCTCAGCGAGTGGCACAGGAGAAGAAAGTCAGGGAGCTACAGATTTCTGAACGTGAGCTCGAGCTGCCTGTCCCAGTAGTCTCGCAGCACGCACAGCAGCACGTCAAGGAGCAGATACAAGCTGTACTAGAGGATGCAAAGGATGCCAAGGAGGTGGAACAAGCTGAGCCAATAACAGCTCTAGCAGCAATGCCCGTGGCCGACGAGGTCTTGCCCGCAAAAGACAAACCTGAGAAGGCCAAGGTGGCTGTGGACGACCAGGTGGAGCATTCTGACACCCAGGAGAGTGCTCCAGAGCTGATCGTGGAGGAAGAAAAAGTGGCGGAGAGAGCCGTGCCGGATTCCACGCAGGCGATGGATCCCATGGTAGAGGACACACTGGCAGCAGCTGCCAGTCTAGACATTCCCAAACAAGTAGCAGAGGAGGTAATCAATGTCGAGGAGCAAGTTTCTGAACGTGGGCACCAGCTGCTCGTCCCAGGAGAAAAAGTCCCACAGCCCACAGGCAAGGCTGTTAAGGAGCCACATGCTGTGCCTAAGGCAGTTCCTGAGGCTGCAAAGGAGGTGGAACTGGCCGAGCCACCTGCAGCTCCAGCAGCAATGCCTGCGGTCGAGAATGTATTTCCCGCACACAACGAAATCAAGGAGGAAGAGAGCATTGAGACGGCCGACGTGGCTGTGGAAGACAAGGAGGAGAATGCTGACGACAAGGAGAGTGTTCCAGATGCGATCGTAAAGGAGGGAGAAAAGTTGGCAGAGCCAGATATTGAGAGTCCTGTGCCAGAATACATGCATGCAACGGAACCCGTGCTGGAGACACTGCTAGCAGCCCCATCAAGAGAAGACATTCACGAGCAAGTGCCAGAGGAGGAAATCAAAGTCAAGGAGCCACAACAAGTTTCCAAACGTGAGATCAAAGAAGATGTCCAGCAGGCTGCGGACGAGGCTTTCCAAAAGACAGGCGAGCCTGAGGCCGTGCCTGAGAAAGCTGACGAGGCCGCTAAGAAAATGGAACTGGCCGAGCCAGTCGGAGCTCCAGCAGCAACGTCTGCAGTGGATGACGTTTTGCCCACACAGGACGAAATCAAGGAGGAAGGGGGCATAGAGCCAGCTGCTGTGCACGACCAGGTGGAGAATGGTCACGCCGGAGAGAGTACTCCAGACGCGATCGTGGAGGAGGGAGAAAAGTTGATGGAGCCAGGGATCGAGAGTGCTCTGCTGGATTCCATGCATGTGGCAGATCCCGTTATGGAGGACACACAGGCAGCAGCTCCTGCTAGTGAACACATTACCAGGCAAGTGGAAGATGAAGAAATCAAAGTCGAGGAGCCACAACAACTTTCCAAACGAAAGCTGAAGCTGCCCGTCCCAATAGAAGAACTCCCACACACGACGAACGAAACCGTCCAGGAGCCAGAGGCTGTGGCTGAGGTCGTTCCCGGGCCAGAGGCCGTGCCTGCGACTGCTGAAGAACCTGACCTGGAGGTGGAAACGGCCGAGCCACTCGTAGCTCAAGTACCAACCACCACAGTGGATGCCGTCTTACCCGCACACAAGGAAATCGAGGCCGAAGAGAGCATAGAGCCGGCCGAGGGGGCTGTGGATAACCAAGTGGAGAATGTCGAGCCCAGGGAGAGTGCTTCAGTCGCGGTCCTGGAGGAGGGAGAAAAGTTTGCGGTGCCAGAGATCGAGAGTGGTGCACCGGATTCCATGCATGCGACAGATCCCATGGTGGAGGACACACAGCGAGCATCTCCTTCCAGTGAAGACATTCACGAGGTCGTGGAAGAGGAGCAAACCAAAGTCGATGTGCCACAGCAAGTTTCCGAACGCGAGGTTGAGCTCCCCATTCCAAGAGAAGAACTCCCAGAGTCGGCGAAGGAAGCCGTCCAGGAGCCACAGCCTGTGGCTGAGGCCGTTCCCGGGCCAGAGGCCGTGCCTGAGGCTGCTGAGGAACTTGCCCAGGAGGTGGAACTGGCCGAGCCACTCGTAGCTCAAGTACCAACCACCACAGTGGATGCCGTCTTACCCGCACACGAGGAAATCGAGGCCGAAGAGAGCATAGAGCCGGCCGAGGGGGCTGTGGATGACCAGGTGGAGAATGTCGAGCCCAGGGAGAGTGCTTCAGTCGCGGTCCTGGAGGAGGGAGAAAATTTGGCGGTGCCAGAGATCGAGAGTGGTGCACCGGATTCCATGCATGCGACAGATCCCATGGTGGAGGACACACAGAGAGCATCTCCTGCCAGTGAAGACATTCACGAGGTCGTGGAAGACGAGCAAACCAAAGTCGATGTGCCACAGCAAGTTTCCGAACGCGAGGTTGAGCTTCCCATTCCAGTAGAACAACTCCAAGAGTCGGCGAAGGAAGCCGTCCAGGAGCCACAGCCTGTGGCTGAGGCCGTTCCCGGGACAGAGGCCGTGCCTGAGGCTGCTGAGGAACTTGCCCAGGAGGTGGAACTGGCCGAGCCACTCGTAGCTCAAGTACCAACTGCCACAGTGGATGCCGTCTTACCCGCACACGAGGAAATCGAGGCCGAAGAGAGCATAGAGCCGGCCGAGGTGGCTGTGGATGACCAGGTGGAGAATGTCGAGCCCAGGGAGAGTGCTGCAGTCGCGGTCCTGGAGGAGGGAGAAAAGTTGGCGGTGCCAGAGATCGAGAGTGGTGCACCAGATTCCATGCATGCGACAGATCCCATGGTGGAGGACACACAGAGAGCATCTCCTGCCAGTGAAGACATTCACAAGGTCGTGGAAGAGGAGAAAACCAAAGTCGATGTGCCACAGCGAGTTACCGAACGCGAGGTTGAGCTTCCC